TACACGACTCTGCCTTCTTCACACACCAACCACTAGACTCTTTCGCTCAATGTTCTAAACGCGTATGGGGTGATTAGAGGGTGAATTAGGTGATTAGGGTGTGATACATGTAATTAGGGTGATTATGGGGTCAATTAGGTGATTAGGGAGTGATACACGTAATTAGGGTGATTAAAGAGTGAATGTTAACACGTACGAATTAGCACTTAACTGTAATCTAGTCATGCATATGTTAAGAAACCTTTCCCACCACTTATTTACATAGAGACAAGACAATAAATACACACACACACACACACACACACACACACACACACACACACACACACACACACAATAGGTCACACGACACAGCACATAATCACAGTCTAATAATGCTGTAGGGTATAACAAGCTAACTCTCTTCATTACCATCTCTTACCATAGCAGTGTGATCAGAGAATAACTGTGGGTATAACTCCTGGTATAACTGTGGGTATAACTGTGGGTATAACTGTGGGTATAACTGTGGGTATAACTCCTGGTATAACTGTGGGTCTAACTGTGGGTATAACTGTGGGTCTAACTGTGGGTATAACTCCTGGTATAACTGTGGGTATAACTGTGGGTATAACTGTGGGTATAACTGTGGGTATAACTCCTGGTATAACTGTGGGTATAACTGTGGTATTTATGGTGCTTGGTATTTCACTTTGATCTCTCTCTCTCTCTCTCTGCTTATAATCTCATTGACACATTCCCCTGAAGGTGTGACATACAGCTTGCAGTGCGACATACCACTTAAGGTGTGACATACCGCTTAAGGTGTGACATACCGCTTAAGGGTGATGAGTCAATCACCTTAATATGGAATAGTTTTCAGTTGTTTAAGCTGGAGGTAACATTTTCTCCCCTTCATTAACCTCCCTTTCCAATTACAAGCTTCACCTAAGGGGGTATTGCTACCATCCCTTGTTGGTTAGGGGGGGAGCCTCTACCTTACCAGTTACCTTTAAGGGGAAGGGGAAAGGAGGGAGGTGTCATTACAGTGGCATCTATCCTATTGGGAGAGGGGGAGGGAGGAAGGAGGGGAGAGGGGGAGGGGAGAGGGGGAGGGAGGGAGGGGAGAGAGGGGGGAGAGAGGGAGGTAGCTCTTGTTTTGTTAACTTTTTTCTGAGGAGGGGTGGAAGGACTAGGAGAGAGGGAGAGGAAGAAGGGAAAGGAGTGGAAGGGGAAGAGAGACGGGAGGGAAGAATTTCTCAATCCGCTCCCCTCCCCTGGGTGAGTATATGACACACTCCCCCTGGGGTGGTTGAGCGGACCAGCGGTACTTAGGGGGAACTTGTCATATCAGGAGGCGCCCCCTTAGGCCAGGAGGACCCAGGGGGCACACGTCGTGTCTGGAGGGCCCCCTGAGTCGTGATCCCCACTGGTAGGAGGGCAGGACCCCCGGGCCAAGCCACGGGCGGACCCCTGGTATGTAACCTATATCAGGCAGTCAGCTCCCTCCCCAGGCAGGACAGTGTGTGTGTGTGTGTGGGTGTGTGTGTGTGTGTGTGAAAGAAGAGAGAGAGAAAGGACACAGAAGAAGACGGAAGGGCAGAAGGAGAGAGGAAGGCTGGAGAAAAAGATGGATGGAGGGAGGGAGGAAAAGAGAGAGGATAGTGAAGAAAAGAAAAGGACGGAAGGGTAAAGAGGAGGAGGGGAGAGAGGAGAAGGAAAGAGAAAAAATGGAAGAGGGGAGGAGGGAATAATGGTAATATTAACACTTACACTTGAACTTAACACAGGAGACGCTGCTTGATAACTAAACACTGTACATCAATACAGACAAACAAACAAGCGACCTCATATCATAAACCAAACAAAATAAACAGACAACATCACAAACACATAAATAAACAAACAGACGCTAAATTGGTACAGAAACAAAACAACTGGTAATTCATAACCACACACCTAACCTAACCTAACCTAACCCAACCAAACCTAACCAAACCTAACCTAACCCAACCAAACCTAACCTAACCCAACCTAACCTAACCTAACCTAACCCAACCAAACCTAACCAAACCTAACCTAACCCAACCAAACCTAACCTAACCCAACCAAACCTAACCTAACCCAACCAAACCTAACCTAAACACAACTAACCCAACAATATACCTGTACCACTGTTTATTATACTTCTATGTTAGCCAAATACCTGTACTGTACTTTTTAATTAACCTTACCTGACATATTCGACCCTCACGAATTTGACTTCACACGAATTGTTACTTTTTCTAATATATCGTCACTGTTCGTCACTATTCGTCACTATTCGTCACTGTTCGTCACTGTTCGTCACGGTATAGGTCTCAATGCTACCTCACCCAACACAAAGAAGTCGACCTTAACGAGACACTTGTTCGAGTAGGACCTTGAACCTCACCCTCCAGCCTCGTACAGGTGTATCCAGTCACTGAACCACCAACCACCAGGGAGCCGGAACTTTGTCGTCTCTGATACCGAGGCTTAACTATCGAACTACCGCATGGCAATTTCACACGCCATTACAACCTATTCAGCCTATTTATTAATTATATGTCGTTTAGGTAACTACTAATTCACATAAATTTAGTTTAGGTACTCATAGGAAATCTTTGGGATCACCTGAAGATTAACCACCCTAACCTATCCTAACTTAACCTAACCTATCCTAACTTAAATTAACCTATCCTAACTTAGCTTAACCTATCCTAACTTAAATTAACCTATCCTAACTTAGCCTAACCTATCCTAACTTAAATTAACCTATCCTAACTTAGCTTAACCTATCCTAACTTAAATTAACCTATCCTAACTTCGCCTAACCTATCCTAACTTAAATTAACCTATCCTAACTTAAATTAACCTATCCTAACTTAGCTTAACCTATCCTAACTTAAATTAACCTATCCCAACTTAGCTTAACCTATCCTAACTTAAATTAACCTATACTAACTTAGCCTAACCTATCCTAACTTAAATTAACCTATGGTAACTTAGCCAAACCTATCCTAACCTAACCTAACCTATCCGTGGTCTACCCTTCTTGTGGATGCAAATGAATTAACAGACCTTGTTAAAATTTACCACCCATACTAGTTAATAATAGCCAACTAATCATCCAATACTAGTTAATAATAGCCAACTAATCATCCAATACTAGTTAATAATAGCCAACTAATCATCCAATACTAGTTAATAATAGCCAACTAATCATCCAATACTAGTTAATAATAGCCAACTAATCATCCAATACTAGTTAATAATAGCCAACTAATCATCCAATACTAGTTAATAATAGCCAACTAATCATCCAATACTAGTTAATAATAGCCAACTAATCATCCAATACTAGTTAATAATAGCCAGCTAATCATCCAATACTGGTTAATAATAGCCAACTAACCATCCAATACTAGTTAATAATAGCCAGCTAATCATCCAATACTAGTTAATAATAGCCAACTAATCATCCAATACTAGTTAATAATAGCCAACTAATCATCCAATACTAGTTAGGCAGCCAACTAATCATCCAATACTAGTTAATAACAGCCAACTAATCATCCAATACTAGTTAATAATAGCCAGCTAATCATCCAATACTAGTTAATAATAGCCAACTAATCATCCAATACTAGTTAATAATAGCCAGCTAATCATCCAATACTGGTTAATAATAGCCAACTAACCATCCAATACTAGTTAATAATAGCCAACTAATCATCCAATACTAGTTAATAATAGCCAACTAATCATCCAATACTACACCAGGATCATGAAACAAGCAACAAGATAAAGAAATACAAAAAACTACATCAACGCAAAAATAACAAAGAAATTTATCCCTCAACAAAAAAAACTCGTAATCGGAAAGCAAAAAAAAAATAATAATAAAAATAAATAAATAAAAATGAAAAAAAATATATAAAAAAATATATAAATACGGGTAAAATTACACATATGGAATAAAACAAGATTAAAAACAAGACCTGGCAACCACAGATCCACGGACACGAAATTTTAAAAGTTGTGTTAAAAATGATTTAAAACTACGAGCCATAAACGAGCTACTGTTAGGATGGTGGCGGGCGAACGGTCGTCTGGCGTTGTTGATTGTTCGTGGTGGCGTTGTTGATTGCTCGTGGTGGCGTTGTTCATTGCTCTTGGTGGCGTTGTTGATTGCTCGTGGTGGCGTTGTTGATTGTTCGTGGTGGCGTTGTTGATTGTTTGTGGTGGCGTTGTTGATTGCTCGTGGTAGTTGTTGATTGATCAGAAGGAAGGAGGAAGCGAGTGAGGAAGAAAGGGGAGAGGGGGTGAACAGACGGGTGAGGGAGACTAAGTGAGAGGTGTGTTAGGTAATGGAGGGAGGAAAGACGTAGTAAATAAATAATCTATTACACTCAAGCATATAATTACACACACACACACACACATTACAACTAATTACCTTAATTACTTTTATGCTTTCAATATTTATTTTTATTATTAGTGTTATTATAATCATCTATTGTCATTAGGTATTATTTGTATTGTCTCTTAATTATGTTTTTGTTCTATAAATTCTAATGTTATTTTCCACACTTTTATTTCATATTCATCATCCATTATTATTATTATCTTCTTTTTTATTAATTCTCACCATCACTAATCATCATTTTCTTTCTTTCACCACCCTCACCACTCTCACCTTCACAAATCATCATTATCATCTTCTTCATCATCATCACTACTACTAGCACCATCATCACCTCCCCTTCCTCCCACCACCACCGATCAACACCCACTTCCTCACCATCACCACCATCAACACCCACTTCTCCACCATCACCACCATCAACACACTCTAGTACTGCCGGCGTACACGGCCGGCTAAGAGATGTACACACAGACACACGGCCGGCTTGATGTACACACACACACACACACACACACAGGGCCAGTTAGAAGGTGCACAGCAATACCCAATATCTCAGGTTCTTATTCTACAGGCGGCTCTGTGGCGAGAACAACACCGATACTCTACGGACGAGGTAGGGAACGAACACCCCACCACCAGCACCACCACCACCACCACCACCCTCCCTCTGTCCCATCCCACCACAACCAGCAGGGAGAGGAAGAGAGAGAGAGGGAGAGAGAGAAAGAAAGAGAGGAGGGGTGAAGAGAGAGAGAGATAGAGAAAGGATGGAAGGGGGGAAGAGGAAGGGAGAGATTCAGAAAATGGGAGGAAAGGAGCGGAATCCATACGAGGAGGAAAAAACTTTCCTATCCATCTATCCCATCCCATCCTATCATCCCATCCCATATCATCCCTCTATCCTACCTTACCTTAACTCCCCAACTTAACCATCCCATCTGATCCATACCTCATACCATTACCATCACCACCACCAGTACCACCACCATTTCACACTAATCACCACCTTACAATATCACCACTATCACCACTTAACACTCTCACCACCATAACCAGTAGCATCATCACCACCTAACACTATCATCACCATTCTCACCACCTTACACTATCACCACCTCCATCATCACTACCTTACATTACCGTCATCACCTTACACACACTTCATACTACCACCATCACCATAACTAGCAGCTTGGGAGGAAGAAGAAATAGGGATGATGAATGATAGTGAGATAAGAGAGAGAGAGAGAGAGAGTGAAAAGAATATGAATAACAGAACTTAGAAGAGTAAGGAAAGGTGCTATAATTAGGTAGGCAATTATTATTATTATTATTATTATTATTATTATTATTATTATTATTATTATTATTATTATTATTATTATTATTATTAGTATTTAGTAGTAGTAGAAGTAGTATTGTTATTATTATTATTATTATTATTATTATTATTATTATTATTATTATTATTATTATTATTATTATTATTATTATTATTATTATTATTATTATTATTATTATTATTTAGTAATAGTAGTAGAAGTAGTATTGTTATTATTATTATTATTATTATTATTTAATATATGTTGTGTTGTTGTATTATGTTATATTAATTATTATTATTATTATTAAATTTTTGTTTGTGTGTGTGTGTATTATTATTATTATTATTATTATTATTATTATTATTATTATTATTATTTAGTAGTAGTAGTAGTAGTAGTAGTATTGTTATTATTATTATATTATTACCGGCATTATCTTTATTAGTACATTTATTAATATTATTATATATTTATAACTATCACTAGTATTATCTTCAGCATTAGTTTTACCATTACTAAGAACTTGACAAATCCCTCAGAGGAACGAGACTATTTACTTAGTACAAGCCTTTCCTGCCATGTAAATAATGTAAGAACAATTATATAGGAACAATTAAATCATATAGGCACGTTTATATAGGCACAGATATAGAGGTATAGTTAATCATATATACGTAATTAACAACAGCAACAACAACAACAGATATTAAGGTCAAAACAAAGTATCGATAGTCTTTTAATGTCTATGTGTGTGTGTGTGTGTGTGTGTGTGTGTGTGTGTGTGTGTGTGTGTGTGTTGGTGTGTGTGTGGGTTTTGAGAGTGTGGAGGGGTGTTGTGTGTGTGTGGAGGGGTGTGTGTGTGGAGGGGTGTGTGGAGGAGGTGTGGTGGTGTGTGGATGGGTGTGTGGAGGTGGGGTGTGTGTGGTCAGGTGTGGTGAGAGTTGTTGTGTGGTGGTGTGTGGTGTAGGTGTGTGGTGTGTGTGGCAGGTGGGGGTGGGACAAGGTGGGGTGGGAGGAGGACAAGGTGGGTGAGGAGGCTGGTTGTGTGGGGTGGAAGAGGTCAAGGGGTGGAGGAGGTGAAGGTGTGGGGTGGAGGAGGAAGGCGTAGGCGGAGGAGGTCAAGGGGGTGGGAGGAGGTAGGTGGTGGAGGACAGGTGTGGGGTGGGGAGGACAAGGTGGGCGGAGTAGGTGAAGGTGTGGGTGGAAGAGGTGAAGGTGGTGGAGGGAGGTGAAGGTTTGGGGTGGAGGAGGACAAGGTGTGGGTGGGGGAGGTCAAGTTGTGGGGTGAGGAGGTGAAGGTGGGTGGGAGGACAAGGTGTGGGTGGGGGAGGACAAGGTGTGGGTGGAGGAGGACAAGGTGGTGGGCAGGTCAAGGTGTGGGTGGGAAGAGGTCAAGGGTGGAGGAGGTGAAGGTGTGGGTGGAGGAGGAAAGGAGTAGGTCAAGGTGTGGGTGGAAGAGGTCAAGGTGTGGGTGGAGGAGGTGAAGGTGTGGGTGGAGGAGGACAGGGTGGGGAGGACAAGGTGTGGGTGGAAGTGTGGGGTGGAGGGTATGTGGGTGGAGGAGGACAGGGGTGGAGGAGGTGAAGGTGTGTGGGGAGGAGGGCGGAGGATAAGGTGTGGGGTGGTAGAGGTGTTGGAGGAGGTGTGGGTGGAGGGGGACATGGAGGAGGTGAAGGTGGGTGGAGGACAAGGGGTGTGGGAGGGGTGGAGGAGGTGAAGGTGTGTGGAGAAGGGACAAGGTGTGGGGAGGAAGAGGGGGTGAAGGAGGAAGTGTGGGTGGGGAGGACAAGGTGGGTGGAGGAGGAAGGAGGAGGTGGGGCGGAGGAGGGTCAAGGTGTGGGTGGAAGAGGTCAAGTTGGGGTGGAGGAGGTGAAGGTGGGGTGGAGGAGGACAAGGTGTGGGTAGGTCAAGTGTGGGTGGAAGAGGTCAAGTTGTGGGTGGAGGAGGTGAGGGTGGAGGAGGTGATGGTGTGGGTGGGGGGAGGACAAGGTGTGGGCGGAGGAGGCCGGGTTGTGGGTGGAGGAGGTGAAGGTGTGGGTGAGGAGGACAAGGTGTGGGGGGAGGGACAAGGTGTGGGGGAGGAGGACAAGGTGTGGGGGGGGTGGGAAGAGGTCAAGTTGTGGGTGGGAGGAGGAAGGTGTGGGGGAGGAGGACAAGGTGTGGATGGGGGAGGACAAGGTGTGGGTGGAGGAGGACAAGGTGTGGGAGTAGGTCAAGGTGTGGGTGGGGGGAGGGCAAGTGTGGGTGGAGGAGGCCAAGTTGTGGGGTGGAGGAGGTGAAGGTGTGGGGTGGGGGAGGACAAGGTGTGGGTGGGGAGGACAAGGTGTGGGGTGGAGTAGGTCAAGGTGTGGGTGGAGGAGGCTGGTTGTGGGTGGAGGAGGTGAAGGTGTGGGGTGGAGGAGGACAAGGTGGGTGGGGAGGACAAGGTGGGGCGGGAGGAGGGCTAAGGTGTGGGTGGAGGAGGTCAAGTTGTGGGTGGAGGAGGTGTGTGGGGTGGAGGAGGTAGGTGGGTGGAGGAGGTGAAGGTGTAGGTGAGGGAGTTCAAGGGGTGGAGGAGGGAAGGTGTGGGGTGGAGGAGGCAAGGTGTGGGGTGGGGGAGGACAAGGTGTGGGGGAGGACAAGGTGTGGGCGGAGGACAAGGTGTGGGGTGGGTGAGGTCAAGTTGTGGGGTGGAGGAGGTGAAGGTGTGGGGTGGAGGAGGTGATGGGTGTGGGGTGGAGGAGGTGAAGGTAGAGGGGACGGAGGAGGTAAAGTTGTGGGTAGAGGGAGGTAGAAGGTGTAGGTGGGGAGGACAGGGGTGGAGGAGGACAAGGTGTGGGCGGAGTGTCAAGGTGTGGGTGGAGGAGGTCAAGGAGGAACACATTTGGAGGCAGGACGAGGTACACATGAGAGGCAGCAGGAGGTAGAGGCACACATGAGAGGCAGCAGGAGGGAGGTACACATGAGAGGCAGCAGGGGCTAGGAGGTACACATGAGAGAGAGGTAGAGGTACACATGAGAGGCAGGAGGTAGAGAGGTACACATGAGAGGCAAGGGGGGTAGAGGTACACATGAGAGGCAGCAGGAGGTAGAGGTACACATGAGAGGCAGCAGGAGATAGAGAGGACACATGACAGGCAGCAGGAGGTAGAGGTACACATGAGAGGCAGGAGGTAGAGGTACACATGAGAGGCAGCAGGAGATATAGGCACATGAGGCAGCAGGAGGTAGAGGCACACATGAGAGGCAGCAGGAGGTAGAGGCACAGAGAGGCAGCAGGGAGGCACATGAGAGGCAGCAGGAGGGCACACAGGCAGGAAGAGGGCACACATGAGAGGCAGGAGGTAGAGGTACACATGAGAGGCAGGAGGTAGAGGTACACATGAGAGGCAGCAGGAGGTAGAGGTACACATGAGAGGCAGCAGGAGGTAGAGGTACATGAGAGACAGCAGGAGGAGGTACACATGAGAGGCAGCAGGGGCTGAGGTAGCAGGGGCTAGAGGTACATGTGAGAGGCAGCAGGCGGAGGTAAAGAGGGAGGTAGAGGTACATGAGAGGCAGCAGAGGCTAGAGGTACACATGAGAGGCAGCAGGCGGTAGAGGTACACATGAGAGGCAGCAGGAGGTAGAGGTACACAGCTACCACCACCACCACCAACACCACTACAACCACCACCACCAACACCACCACTACAACCACCACCACCACCACCACCACCACTAGCATCACTACCACCACCACCACTATCTCAAACACTACCACCACCACCACAATTACTATTACCATTTCAACAACAACTACTACTACCACCACCACCACTAGCAACACTACCATCACCACCACCACTAGCATCACTACCACCACCACCACTATCTCAAACACTACCACCACCACCACAATTATTATTACCATTTCAACAACAACTACTACTACTACCACCACCCTTCAACCACCACCTGGGGCCCCTCCAGGGGCCCAGTCTACCATCCAAGGTTCCACACGCCTGACAGTGACACTCTATGCCTCTGGTCACCTGTTGATGGAACCTTGTTGTCTGGCTAACACCTGTACCTCACTTTACCCAGCCGTAACCCTTCACCTAGTGTCACCTGATCTCACATTAACATTCACCTTACTCTTCTTCACCTCACCACCAGTAAACCTTCTACATTATACCTCAGTGTCACCTCCCTTAGACCATATGAAGCCTCTTATTCCACCTGTTACCACCTGTAGCTTCTCTGCCCCACCTGGCACCTTTGCACCTCGCCTATCAACACCACCAGACCCACAAAAACACGTCAACGCCAAGATGACTATAGAGACAGAAGAAGGTACTGCACGAGGTTACTGTCTCACCCAACCTTCATGTACTGTACAGGTGTTTGGTCAGCGCGGCCAGGTGGTCAGAGGGGGCTACGTGGTTAGTGGGGCCACGTGGTATCGAGGCCATGTAGTCAGGGAGGCCCACGTTGTCTCTGGGCCATGTATTAAGAGGATCCATGGTTTGAGGCCATGCATTCAGCGAGGCCACGTGGTCTCTGGGCCATGTAGTCAGGGGGACCAAGTGGTCAGGTGGTCAGTGAGGCCGTCTGGGAGGAGGATGGCCGCCCCGAGCAGTGCTTAGAGGGCAGGGCGGGGGACGGCCTCCCACACCTGCCTAAACCAGCCCAATCCTCCCCACGCTTGCTTAAGCCTGCCCACCCTCCCACTCTTGCCTAAAGCTGCCCACTCCTCCCCACTCTTGCTCAAACCTGCCCACCTCCTCACTCTTGCTCAAACCTGCCCACCCTCCCACTTGCTTAACCCGCCCACCTCCCCACTTGAAGCTGCCCACCTCCTCACTCTTGCTCAAACCTGCCCACCTCCTCACTCTTGTTAAACCCGCCCACTCCTCCACTTGCTTAAACCTGCCCACCTCCTCACTTTGCTCAAACCTGCCCACCTCCCCACTCTTGCTTAAACCTGCCCACCTCCCACTCTTGCCTGTGCCCACCTCCCACCTTGCTCAAACCTGCCCACCTCCTCACTCTTGCTCAAACCTGCCCACCTCCCACCTTGCTAAACCCGCCCACCTCCCACTCTGCCTAAAGCTGCCCACTCCTCCCCACTCTTGCCTAAAGCTGCCCACTCCTCCCCACTCTTGCTCAAACCTGCCCACTCCTCCTCACTCTTGCTTAAACCTGCCCACTCCTCCCCACTCTTGCTTAAACCCGCCCACTCCTCCCCACTCTTGCCTAAAGCTGCCCACTCCTCCCCACTCTTGCTCAAACCTGCCCACTCCTCCTGTCTCTGTTTTCAAGCCTGCCCACCTCGCCTAAAGCTGCCCACCTCACTTTCTAAACCTGCCCACTCCTCTTGCCTAAAGCTGCCCACTCCTCCCCACTCTTGCTCAAACCTGCCCACTCCTCCTCACTCTTGCTTAAACCTGCCCACTCCTCCCCACTCTTGCTTAAACCCGCCCACTCCTCCCCACTCTTATTTAAACCTGCCCACTCCTCCTCACTCTTGCCTAAAGCTGCCCACTCCTCCCCACTCTTACTTTAACCTGCCCACTCTTCCCCACTCTTGCTTAAACCTCCCACTCCTCCCCACTCTTGCTTAGAACCGGCTTTATTGAGCTAAAACTGACTACGAGTTATAAGCTTTACATTAATGAGATGGAACTGGGATAGAACTGACTTAGAACAGGCTTAGAACTGACTTAGAACTGACTTAGAACTGACTTAGAACTGACTTAGAACTGACTTAGAACTGACTTCACCGAGTTGGCTGAGTGGCTAGAGGCATCAACGAACCATTCTACTGACCCTAGTTCGATGCCTCTTCTTACCTGGGGTTTCCCGTGACAGAAGTAAGGAGATGTTTGGGGGTAAAGAGGGTGAAGGGAAGGGGGAGGGGAAGGGGGAAGGTGGAGGGGGAAGGGGGAGGGGGAGGGGTACCATCTTAGTGTTGTTATGTCGGTGATTTTAACTTCCTTATAATGAAGGTTGGAATAACAGCTGTCAACAAATGGATAGTTCACCTGAATATTAGACACCCTACCTTATGTCACCTGAAGATTAATCACCCCAGTATAATTCACCTGAAAATTAATCACCCTAACGCTAACCAAACCTAACTTAGTTAAACCTATGCTAACGTTAATCTAACCTAACCGATCTTAGCCTAACTTACCCTAACGCTAACCTAACCTAATCTAATCTCATTTACCCTAAGCTCAACCTATATATAAGCTAACTTCACCTAATCTAACCTCACCTACCCTAAGCTAACATAAATTAATCTAACCTCACCTACCCTAAGCTAACTTCAAACCTCATCTAACCTCACCTACCCTAAGCTAACAAATTAATCTAACCTCAACTACTCTAACTAACTTAACCTAACTAACGCTAACTTATTTTTACCTAACCCAACCTAACCCAACCTAACCTAACCCCTTCAGGCAAACGTTAAGGAGGTTAATTTTAAGGTAAAATAAGATGGGGTGTCGAATCTTCAGATCAACCAAATTACAAAATAGCCTCATCGAAATACACACACACACACACACACACACACACAGAAAATGGCCCATATTTTGGTGGTGGGGGGTTATTCAGTAGTCCTATAATTTTGTTGGATATATATTTCTTGAATTTACAAAAAAAAAGAAAAAATATACAGTATATATATCGTATTCTACGCACTTGTTTAATAAAATAATTCTGTCTCATTCTTGCTTAAAAAATCATGTTAATTATTAATTCTACATTACATAGTTTGACGCCGAAAAAATATGTGCAAATTTGGGGAAACTTACGCAAAAGGGAAAGTTAGGGTCAAATTATCACAGATTTACGCAACAGAAAAAAATCATTATTTCTGTCACTCTATTTTAATGTTACGGGAAAGCTTGATTCAGATTTTTTTTTTGCCATAATTTTCCGTAAAAGTGGCGTCATTATTTTGGTTATTTTTCACTTATATGCAGCAATTACACAGGTGATTTTATTATTTATTTTGTCTTTAATGTTACGCATCATATTATTGTTTTGTTTAAGTTTGTCTTCAGTCTTATACGCAATAAATTAGAACAGTATTTTGTCTTTAAGTTTGTCTTCAGTCTTAAACGCAACAGATCATTCTTTTGTTTTCATTCATTTTGCCTTTAGTGTTGCGCATCAGATTATTGTTTTGTTGTGTTGTGTGAGGATGTATGATGACGTGTGTACTGACGTGTTGTGTTTATTCCCTGTACAGTATATGGGAGACTTACACCAAGAACTTGCGAAATGGGACGTCACCACGGTAAGGCTCTCTCTCTCTCTCTCTCTCTCTCTCTCTCTCTCTCGATCTCTCTCTCTCTCTCTCTCTGTATATACAAAATAAATTAAAACACTATCACTAAGGCTGCTTGTCTTTTGTTTGGTCTTTAGCACAATAAACTACGCAAATTTATGAATCACTAATCAGAGTTTGTTTCAGTCTTGGGTATTCTGCTTGAGACCTACGAACTCACAACAACAACAACAGCAACGACAATAACAACAGCAAAAACAACAACAACACTAATAACAAAAACAACAATACTAACAATAACAGAGACAATTAATAATATACTTGCACATCTCATCAAGATCCTCTTAACAATAAAAAAAATAAAATCCTCGTCAATAATTATTTTGTTGACAGAAAAAAACCCGAGAAATATCATAGCCAAAGCACCTCCCCCCCCCCCACACACACGTTAATTTAACCTTCAATAACATAAATGGACGTATTTAAAAGTGACAGACAACCAATCGTGATTTATAAGACTCTGGAAATACTGAACGAAGAATAATATCTGAAGAAGTTTAGGGATATTATGTCGTAATTATTGGAGGTGAGTCTTCTGTAGGCTGGATGGGTGTAAGGTATGGATGGAAAGGTGATGGATGACATGAGATGATATGAATGATGTAAATAGATGGATAAGTGTGGATAATGATGGATGAGGAGATGATGAGAATGATGGATAGATGAACAGGTTTAAGTATTCATGATTATACCTTATGAGTGTATATCCTGAGTATGATGATTTAACCCTTTGAGTATGACGATTTGTAACCTCTTGAGTATGATGATTTAACCCCTTAACTGCCTGCAACCTCACCTACCTTGTATTTTCACCCTCACCTTTCCCTACCTTCTCCTCCTTACCCTCACCTTCCCCTACCTCCAACTTCCCCTACTTCACCCTACCCTCACCTACCTCCACCCTCTCCTACCTCCAGTCTCCACCTCCCCAACCCTCACCTTCCCCTCCTTTATTTCCACCCCCTCCCCTCACCCACCTACAGCCACGCCCAATATATCCAACGTCCACTCAGTTAACTCACACAAATATACTGATACAATTTTTCTCTTTCCCGCTGTGTAAATAACTCACATATCAAGTTACATAAAACTGACCCGGAGTTTGTTCACTTAATACCCGACACTCGCTCACGCAAAACATCCAATCATGAATTTTTGGCAATTAATATGTGTGTGTATGTATGTATGTATGTATGGATGTGAATGTATATAGCCTGTGTGTATAACTATGTATATGTATTGACGATCAAAAATTCAGGCTATTGTGTTGTGCAAAAAAAGTGTGTGTGTGTGTGTGTGTGTGTGTGTGTGTGTGTGTGTGTGTGTGTGTGTGTGTGTGTGTGGACATAAATATGACAAATATAAAAAGAGAGACCGACAGACAAACAAACAGACAAAGAAAGATTTATATATACACAGATATGATCAAACACACGCTTAAATACATACATACATACATACATACATACATACATACATACATACATACATAGATCAGAGATAAAACCAGAGGGCAAAATTTTTTTTAATAAAAAGTAAAATAAATTTATGAATTATATAAAACAAGAAACAAAAACACAAAGAAGAGAAAATAAATTAAATACAAAAACTAATTAATACATAAATAAAAAATAAAAATCCTTCACTGTATTTCTCTATTGTATAAAGCTCCTTACTGTGTTTGGAAATATTGCGAGGTAAATAAACTAAAAATAACGTGTCTATCGCCTTACGTTTGGTGATTGCGTATTGTGATTTTTGCACCGTATTTGAGTATCGTTATTGCAGACTGTTATTGGGAATCGTCATTACAAATAGGTCTACGGTTATAATAGGTATTGTTAATTAATACTGTTATATGAGTATTATTAATGACATTGAGTTATTGTTAGAGTACTGTTATTTGCCTGATATAGTTATTCCCTATTGTTATTTGGGTATAGTCATTGCATACTGTTATTGCATACGTTTTACATGCAGTGTGTGGTATTAGTACTTGACGCATATGGCCCCTGCAACCTTCAGTTTCACCGCTTGATATTTAACCTTCAGAGCCCACTACCACACCCACTACCACACCCACTACCACACCACCTACCACACCACCTATCACACCACCTACCACACCACCTACCACGCCCACTACCACACCACCTACCACACCACCTACCACACCACCTACCACACCCACTACCACGCCCACTACCACACCACCTACCACACCACCCACTACAACACATACACACTACTACCACACCCACCCACACACCACCACACCACCCACCACACCCACACCACACCACCCACCACCACCACCACACCACCACACCACCACCCACTGCCACACCATATTCACCATCACCACACTATACCCACTACCACACCCACCTACCTCACCCACTACCACACCATCTACCACACCACCTCACACCATATTCACCATCACCACACTATACCCACTGCCACACCCACTTACCTCACCCACTACCACACCATCTACCACACTCACCACCACACCATATTCATCATCACCATACTATGCTCACCACCATGCCATATTCAATGCACCATATTTACTACCACACCATACTCAGCATCACCACACACCCCCCATATAATCACACCTATAACATCAAACCACCACAAACGAAGCTAAATTATAGGTGGAACAGAAGCTAAATTATAGGTGGAACAGAAACTAAATTATAGGTGGAACAGAGGCTCATTTATACATGTAGGTGGAAGAGGCAGGTTACGGGTGGACCATCCTGACTTATGAAAGAGAGAGAGAGAGAGAGAGAGAGAGAGAGAGAGAGAGAGAGATATCATATACAAAATTATACCTCTAAGTGTCTAACACCTCTCCTATTCACATCTGCGTATATCATATATTATAAAACAGTCAACATACGCCCAGGGTGCCACCGAAAAAAAAAAAATAATATAATTAAACAAATACAGTATATAACTCTCTCTCTATATATAAATAAATAAATAAATAAATAAATACATATTCCAAATTATAACATTTCACATACGAACAATTTATTAATGGTACGTATAGATATATATATATATTTGTTTTAGAACACAAATACCCAATACGTAATTTTGATTCACACTCATTTTTTTTTTAATGTGTATTCCAGACCACGCGTAAAAAAAAAATTGGCATTGGCATAAGCTTTAACCTGGAAATACAACAGGGAGACCATTTTTAATAGTTATTTAGAATAGGTAAAATTGGTAGCTATTAGAGGAAATACAAAAGTGTACTAAATAGCGTTTGGATTTTTATTATTTTTTTTTAATATGACTTTTGTGGATTTCAAGTCTTTTCTTTCTTTTATTTATCTAATTGTTTTCTCTTGGTTGTTTCTCTTTTACTTATTTATTGGAAGGATGAGGAAAAGTGGAAAGAAAGAAGAGGAGGAAAGAATGGGGAGAAATGACAAGGAAAAGAGGTGGAAAGGGAGGAAAGGGAAAGAAAGAAGGAAAGGAGGGTGGAAAGGGGGGATAAATGAAGATGGAAAGGAGGAGAAAGGATAGAAGAAGAAGAAGAAGAAGAAGAAGAAGAAGAAGAAGAAGAAGAAGAAGAAGAAGAAGAAGAAGAAGAAGAAGAAGAAGAAGAAGAAGAATAAGAATAAGAAGAAGAAGAAGAAGAAGAAGAAGAGACGAAGACGAAGAAGAAGAAGAAGAAGAAGAAGAAGAAGAAGAAGAAGAAGAAGAAGAAGAAGAAGAAGAAGAAAGAAGAAGAAGAAGAAGAAGAAGAAGAAGAAGAAGAAGAAGAAGAAGAAGATTCTCTACATGAAAGATCAAAATCCCATGAGAACATATATATGAAACAGTAATTATATGAATTCTAATTAAAACAATCGATAGCAATTAATTTACATAAGGACAATTAACGTACTTAATTAGCGCCACTTAATTTGCATAATAATAAATTGACGCAACGAATTAAAAAAAAAATCTTCATATTTTCTTTTCAATTTAAGACGACCTTCTAATTTAATCTCCGTCGTTCTGACTCTCTCGTTCTCATTGTCTCTCTCTCTCGTTCTCATTGTCTCGTTCCCATTATCTCTCTCGTTCTCATTGTCTCTCTCTCGTTCTCATTATCTCTCTCGTGTTCTCATTGTCTTCTGTCGTTCTCATTGTCTCTCTCTCGTTCTCATTATCTCTCTCTTGTTCTCATTGTCTTCTGTCGTTCTCATTGTCCCTCTCTCTCGTTCTCATTGTCTCGTTCCCATTATCTCTCGTTCTCAATGTCTCTCTTTCTCGTTCTCATTGTCTCGTTCCCATTATCTCTCTCGTTCTCATTGTCTCTCTCTCTCGTTCTCATTATCTCCGACGGTCTCATTGTCTCTCTGTCGTTCTCATTGTCTGTCTCTCGTTCTCATTGTCTCTCTGTCGTTCTCATTGCCTCTTTCTCACTATCTCTCGTTCCCATTCTTCCTCTTGTTCTCATTAACTCTGTCGTTCTCATTGTCTCTCTCGTTCTCATTGTCTCTCTGTCGTTCTCATTGTCTCTCTGTCGTTCTCATTGCCTCTTTCTCACTATTTCTCGTTCCCATTCTTCCTCTTGTTCTCATTAACTCTGTCGTTCTTATTATGTCTGTCATTCTCATTGTCCCTTGTTCTCATTATATCTCTCGTTCTTATTGTCTCTGTATTTCTCATTGCCTCTCTCTCGTCCATATTGTCTCTCTGTCATTCTCTGTCTTATATCTCTAAGGGATTATCTCTCATTCAGGTTATATATATATTTTTTTTTAATTCTTACTCACACACTTCTCTTTCAACACGTTCTCACCTTCTCTCCATTTTGCCTTGTCTCTCTCACTGTTTCTCACTTCTCCTCCTCACATGTCTATCTCTCACTCTTCCAGTATGTGTGTGTCTGGCTCTCTCACTTCTCCCCGGTATGTCTGTCTGTCCGTCCGTCC